AGAGAGGAGAGCATAGGGCTGGGTCAGGAAAAGGAGTGTGCCAGCAACAGGCAAACAGGGCAAGGGGGAGAGGGAGAAGTTTGGGGAGAGTTGGAGTGATGTTCCCAGCAGCAAGGAGGGCAAGGGGTGGATGTGTAGAAGAGAAGATCGAGGCAGGGGGATGGGGAGAGGGAAGAGGAGAAGATGCTGAGCACGTGGCCCACCCGGAGGTCAGATGAGCAGGCAGGACAGCCCCTGGCCCCAGCTGCCAGCACACCCTGCTGAGCTCTCCCGCTTGTGCTGCCCCCGACCCTTGCCCCATTTGGGGGCAGTCCCCCCTCGCCAGCTTCTCACTGGGGCCACGCAAACGGGCAGCCCTCGGGGGGCGGGCAGCACGTACCTGCTCCTGGCCCAGGATGACGACGCCCTGGGGCTTGATGGCGTGCCAGGAGGCCAGGTTCTCACCGGCCCCCCGCTGCTCCCCGTCCTGGTACGCCGACCACTTGCCGTCCCGGGTGGTCCATGCCACGCAGACGTGGTGCCAGGCCTTGTCCTTCAGGCTCAACGGCAGCTGGGCAACCTTGGCACAAAGAGCGAGACCCCCCCGTGTGCCCCCAGCCCCTTGCCGAGCGAGCGGCACGGCCCAACGGTGGTGGCACCCCAAATTTGACAGACATCTCCCTCTCAAAACCCACCCCACCGAGCCATCCAAGCCATCCTCCCCACCCCACCGAGCCATCCGAGCCATCCTCCCACCTCCACCCTGGGCACCTCCCTCTCAGCTCCCCCACACCGGTCCCCCCCCCAGGAGCATCATTTCTCAGGGGGGAGATGAGGGCAGGGGCTTCCCTCCTGCCCCTGCTGCCTCTGGGCTGACCTTGTCGTTGATGAGCAGCTCCAGGGGGTTGGTGCCCCACTCCAGCAGCACGATCTCATTCGCTTGGCTTGGCACAGAGTAGGAGAAGGGGGTGCCAAGCCCTGCCAGGGCCTTGGACTTGAGCCACATGCAGATGGTGAAGGCGTAGAGCTCGGGCAGGCTCTTCTTCATGCGGGCATACATGTAGTTGTTCTGCACTGGGATGGTCACCTTGAAGGCATCAGGAGGGCTATAGCCTGGTGGTCCTGTGTGCCAAGGATGGGAGAGGAGAGAGGAGGGTCAGCAGCTCATCGTTGGGATGAGGGTGGCCTCTCCTGGGGCTCTCACCCTGGGGTAGGGTCCCCGCTGCACCTAGCTGGGTAGGACTCACCGTGCTCCAGCTCCGTCACCCGGTTCTGGAGAGAGCTCAGCTCCTTCTCAATGTGGTGCTGCTGCTGGCTGCGGTCGGTGCTGGCAGCCTGGCGCTCCTTCTGCAGGGTCAGGATCTTGGAGAGGAGCTGCTCCTCCAGCTGCTCCATCTTGGTGTGCAGGGCGAGCGTGGGGCTGGTGGGTGCCGAGCCGGCTCCTGCGGCGCTGGGCGCCAGCCACGACGGGGGCAGAGAGGAGGAAACTCAAAGGGGTGTCATTGCAAGAGGGTAAATAAGGGCGTGCCCACCCCATACTGGCCCCACAACCCCACCTCGGCTGCAGGGTCTTCTCCAAGAGCCCCCAGCTACCTTTGTACCTCCCCTCTCAGAACCCTCTTTGAGCTCGTTGCTGTGACTTTCTGCTGCTCCAGAGACAGAGGAAGGATGGGATGAAGAGGCACTTGGGTCATCCCTTGGTTCTGCTCCCACAGCAGCCTCCCATGAGGAGGGGACAGCACGGGAAGGAGCTCAGGACTCCCCTCCCTGCTGCTCCTGAGGCTGCTTCACCACAGCCAACATCAAACGAGAGGGCTGGAATCCTCTTAGCCCAGCTCAGGCAGCTTGCGGGGGTGGGTGCACCCGTGCCAGGTCGGGCAGGTAGCTCTCCCTCAGCATAAACCAGCCTCTCCCAGGCCGTAGGGGTGCTACAGGGACCAGTGGTGGATGTGACCCAGCACTTGAGGACATCAAGTGGCCACGGTGGCTACTTCAGCACCGAGAGGAGTCTGCATGGCTGCTTCAGCCCTGGGCCAGCTTGTGCTGGTGGGACACGGGGTGATGCCATCCCTGCTGACCTGGACTCCCCCTAGACTGGCCTGGAGGAGCAGGTCACCACATTCAGCTATGGTTGTGGCTTCCAATGTTTCCTCCTTCCCTATATCCTGCTTTTCCAGGATTGATAGGACCTGATGATGATGCACACTAAGATGAAGGGGGGGGGGGGGTCCCCTGGACCCCCACCCCC